CCGGCCGGGACTTCGCGCCCGCGGCCGCCGTCTCCCCCCAGTCTCCGGCAGGCGGGAGAAGACGAAAGCCATTGAGAAATAGGGTGCACGTCACGCCGGAGCCTGTCCCCGAGTCGGACGGAGGGAGGAGGCTCCATCCCCCCGAACTCCGCGGAGCCGCGAGATGCAGCGGGGCTGGGCGCTTGCGCTCCTACTCGTGGCAGCGTGGCTGGCTGTGCCAGGTTGGTGCCAGCAGGGCTGGGGCCCAGGGGCCTGAGTCCCGGGGAGATGGGCTGCGGGAGGGACTGGGGCGCCGCAGTTGAACTGATTAAGTGCAGAGCCGGGCAGGGTCCCCAAGGCTGCCTGGGGCTGGGGCCGGGCTGAGAGCACCTGGGTCCAGGTGAGATTCTGGACGATTTGGGGGTTGCCGTGTGGGTTGAGGCCGCGGGTCCGGTCGCGAAGTCCTAAGGGAGAGGCTGCCGTAGGCTGGAGGCTAAGTACCAGCGGGGAAGACTTCCGGTCTCGAGCCTATGCTGACCCACCTGGATCCCGCCCAGGCGATGGCAACGAGGGCAGTGTCACCGGGAGCTGTTCCTGCGACAGAAGACTTTCTTCTGACAAGCCCCCGACAGTTCACGCCATGGAGCGTTTTCGGAAACTCCTGAAAGCTTACGATCGCTGTCCACGCTACATTAGGTAATCTCACCGGTCCCTGCGAGGGCAGTGCCTCCGCAGTCCCTCCGGACCCTCTCTGGCCAAGCCTGAACGCCATTCGGGGGACCTCGTCCCCTCCCTGGGCCCTGTCTCCCCCAGTTCTCTCGCTTTCATTTCCCTGTCCCGTCTACCTGGGGATTTCCCGGTCTCACAGCAAGAGGCTCTTTCTTGGCGGTGATGTCATGCCCTCGGAATGTGGAAAGAGCTGGGAAGGGACTTGGGGGCCACAGCTGAGACAGATGCTTCCTCTGCAGGTTCCAGCTACCTTCCCAAAACCTGTGCGGGGGCAGCAAGGACCAGTGGGTTCAGGACTTGATGAGCTGCTTTGATAGACAAGGTGAGAACTCCCTGCTCCTCAAGCTCTGCGTCCAGTGTTCAGGCACCTCCACTTTCCGTTTCGGTTGCCTTGGCCCTTTCCCTGATCTTACTGCTTTCCTAAAACCTTCTGATGCTGAGCAAAGTACCTTCACTGAAGTCCCCTTTACCATTTACCACCACTTTCATGATTTTTGCCAACTCATTCTACCATTTTTCTTTCTTTCTTTTTTTTTTTTTAAATTTTATTTCACCAGAGAGGGACAGAGTGAGAGAGAATGAGTGAGAGAAGAGAGAGAGAAAGTGAGAAAGCAAGCTGCCAGGTCCAGAACTCAAACTATGGTCAGTCATGTGGGAGTCCAGCACCCCTAACTACCACACCCCCTGCCAGCCCCCCCCATATTTTTAAAAAAAGTATTTAATTCCATTTGTTATTATTATTATTTTTTTTAATTTGAGCAAAGAGAGGGCGAGAAAGGGAAAGTGAGAAAGCAAGCCACCAGGTCCATGACTCAAACTATGATTGACCATGTGGGAATCCAGTGCCTTTAACCACGATGCCATCTGCTGGTCCTTCTACCATGGATTTGTTATTTAATATATTTTTTTGAAACCAAGGCACTATTTTAATTAATTAATTAATTTAGTTTTTTGCCACCGGGCGTGTACACTTGCCAGAGAGAGACAGAGACAGAGGGAAAGTGAGAAGTCATCCCCCAGGGGGACTGCTATGCTGCAATGACTTCTCTGTTCTTTCTGGGATTTCGGGCATGCACACACATGTGTCCAGTATGAGATTCAAGCCTCTGGGTCTAGGAAAGGAACCACAGTCAGCCAAGTGGGAGTACAATGCCTTAACCACTACACCATCTACTGGACCTCACTATATTTTATTTTCAATGTATTTTTTTTAGCGTATGATAATTTTTAAATTTATTAATCTTAATTATTATTTATACATTTAATCGCTATACATCATTTAGATTGTAAAGAGACTTCACCCAGCATGATATACACCTCAGTCCAGCCCAGCTGAGAATTTATGCACGTCCTGATCAACAAATTATAAACCATATTTGTGTCCCAGAAATGTCTTACCTCTCTATTTTTTTCTCCAAATTCCCTTTTCTATGCTCTTCCCCTTCCACATTCTTTCCACTTTGGTTGTAGTGTCCATAACACTTTTTAATGCTTGTATGTCCTCCAGTCTTTCAGTCTCTGCCACAGACTGTGGACCGTTGGTATATATTAAGGGGAGACATACAATG